TAGGTGGTGGGCTGCCGAGGTAAACAGAGACTAGGGTATTAGGCTAGCCCACCACCTATGAAGACTCAGCCGTGGCGAGTCTGCGAATTGAGCTGTGAGCATTAGCCGACCGCTCTTCTGGTAGCGGGGCTGCTTAAAAGTGTCGCGTTGGCTGCACTAGTGCGGCAGAGAGGTGTGAAGCTAGAGACTGGTGCTGGCTACGACTCTTGCAGCGGGCCCTTGGAATGGGGCTGAGTGATGAAAGAACTGAAGGGCCCGCTGCGACGAGATTGCAGGACGGCTCAGCCGACCTTAAATTGGAGCAGCACGGCTCTCCAGCTGTAAATATTCGGCTCGTGTGGCTGGCTAGGGCTGTCTAGGTGGTGGGCTGCCGAGGTGAACCGAGACTAGAGTATTAGGCTAGCCCACCACCTATGAGGGCGCACTATTAGTTGCGCCGAGGTCGCCCGTGTCGACCTGGGATGGCGCCGACTGGGAGGCAGCACGCTCTAAGGCCCGCTCAGGCACCGAAGGGCGACGCGTTGAACGGCGTAGGCGCAGGGGCCCTCTCGGCTGCCGCGCGGGCGGCCGCAGACGCCGCCGCTCGCGCCTGGGCCTCCTGCGCGGCGGCCTGCTGCTGGTTGAAGTGGTCCAGCAGCATGGTCTCGACCTCTGAGATGGTCGCCAAGCCTGGGGCCTCTATCCACTCCCAATCCCAAGTTTCGACGACCTGGCCATCGATGGCGTCGAGCGACTTGAGCTTCCACACGAACGGGTAGAGCATGCCGTTTGGCATCTTCCACTCGCCAGGGTACGTGGCTGGCCACCATTTTTTGAACTCTCTGGTGGCGGCCGTGTACTGGGAGCCCTGCCATGCCGAGCCAGACTGCGTATCGCCTGATAGGCCGAAGAGCTCCAGCGCGTTGGGCGGCGCCCTGCCGGGCTCGGCCGCGGCCCCCTGCGGGGGCGTGGTCCCCTCCGTCGCCGCCGTGGCGCGCCCGCCCGCAGGAAGCCTGGCCGCCATGGCTGCGTTGCGCGCGCTGAGAGAAGGGGGAGTGCGGAGGGAGCGAAAAGAAATAGCCCATAAGCCAACGGCCAGATATGAGTGAAACCTAGCTGGCTTATGCGTGCGCCTGGGTGAGGAGGACCCTCCTAATGGGCCGACTGATGCATGCTTGGCCCGGTGCGGAGTCGATAGGGATGAGGATGGTTCCGCTGCGCATGTTGACCCGCAGCGAAAGGCCGGTGCGAAAAGGTATGCCCGTGCCGAATAAAATGGGCCGTGCATCGATCTCCTGAAGAATGGGGAGGTGAAAAAAGCGCGGCCTCTCCACAGAGGATGGCAGCCGGGTCTCCTGCCCGTGAAATTGCTCCATTAGGAGCCCTACATTGATGGGCAGTGGAGACCAGAGCGGAATATGGCCTGCCGTAATCACTACCAGCCACTGTACGACTGTAGGCGGTGGTGGCACGGCCTCAGTGGGGGCGCAGCGGACGTCGCCGTGCTCGAACTGCGGCAGGTGCTGCGCATCTGGGGTCGGCATGGCCTGAGGGGCTAGGGTTCAGGGAGGCGGAGGATTCGAGAGAGGTAGGACAACGGAAGGCAAAATGGCCGCACCAGGATCATGGCCTGGAAGTCTATTAGGATGGGGCTGCCAGCCGCTGCATCCTCCAAAAGACGCTGAGGGATGAGAGAAGGCTGTTCCCAGGCCCCCGTGTGGAGGAGGTCCAGAAAAATCTGGTCGGGCACGTAGACAGTGACCAAACCTATAGCGGGTGAGAAACGGGCAGCATAGGGGCCTTCACCCGCTGCGCAATGAGGATAAATGTGGAGTAAGTTGGGAGAGTTGGCCTCGCACCAACGCCCATACCACCGCTCGATTGTGTGATTAACGACATCGGGCAAGTCCATGTGGAGCTCGGGGCCTACGGTAGCGCGGGCGTGTGGCAAAGCAGGCGGCCCGCTCTCGAGCTGCCATGTAGCTTGCCATTGGGGTACCGAGGCAGGCTGGTACACAGTGGTAGGAGACAGTAAGAGAGCGTGGCGCCTCGAGCCGCCGCTGAGAAAGCGGTAGACTTGCTGGTGGGCCAGGAGAAGCCGCTCAGCCAAGTACTCCCAAAAGGGCCAGGGCAGGAGGGAGGAGGGAGGAGGGAGTAGGATGGAGGTGGGAAGACGATCGGACGCTGCGATCGGCTGGGCCGAGTGGGCCGAACTCCTAAGCCTGCGCAAGCAACTCTCCTTCAGAGTTTCCTTGGCAGATGTCCGTACCATAAATTGGTTGATTTTGGGAAGTGCCCCTCAATCGTGGCAAAATGCTTTTTCTTGGATTCCAGCGCCGCTAATCGATGTGACTGTTCGTCCTGACAATCATACATCGTGCGAGAATGTCGCCACGAGGACTTAAACACCGCGACTCAACGTGACCGTTGCGTCCGGACATTCCCACATCGTACCAGACAGCAGTTCCTAGGACTTCAGCCACACGAATCCGTGAACTTGTTGAGAACGTTGAAGACGAAATGCGCAATGCGCGCGGCGCTAAAGCGAGAAAGGGAGGCTTTCAAGAAGCGGGAAGGAGAACGTTGAAGGCGCACGTTCTGAAACCGAGTCGCGCTCCATCCTTAAAACTGCTGCAGAGTTTCAAGGCGAATGTGCGCGTTGCTCAGGCGAGAGCAACATTTTGAAAAGGATCCCCCACCCATCCCTGAAACCGCTTTAAACTGTTATACGGGATGTGAGCAGCGCTCAGGCGAGAGCCACATTTTGAGCTAGACCCTTCACCCATCCTCGAGACTGCTGCAAACTTGCAAGACAAAGGTGCGCAGCGACCAGGCGAGAGCTGTTTCTTTGAAAACCAACCCCCCTCCATCCTTGAGGCTGCTCCAGATTCCAAGCTTCAGGGTCATACACGGTGAGGAAGTCTCAGGCGAAACGCCCGTCCCGCCTTATCGACACGTCTCGAGATGCGACATGGAGGAGTAATTTAGGAAGAGGAGGGATTAACCATAAACTTTGAGAATGAGCCCTGGCAACGACAGGGCCGTTCTTTTGCTGGTTCCGTATTGCCCTGTTGTTCCTGGTTTCGGCGCCGTTGTTCCCCGATTATGTTGACGTTTTTTTTTGGTTCTCCAGTTCCAATTCGGGAGCACTTGTCTTGAATATGTGGGATCGTCTCTGTTTTTACAGCCTACATATTCCAGAGCCAGTTTTTTGTATGAAAAACAGGGCCCTTAACATCCATCGCCTGCCCAAGAAATCTGCAAAGACTTCAGGGTGATTTCGGCAATGTCCTTCTGATGAGGAATCGAGCGCCAAGGTGTTGGAGGATGAGGAGGAGGTGGAGGAGGAGGACCCCGTCCCGCTTGTGCTTGTGCAAATAGCTGCTCGGTTATGAATAAGGCTGGTGGAGTTGAGGCTGTCGAGCGACGAGGAGGTGGGATGAGGAGGAGAGTGGAGGACTGATGGGAAGGTTGAGGGTGGAGGAGGGGCGAGGAGGGACGGAGAAGGGATTGAGCAGGAGGGAGGAGGAGGGAGGAGGAAGGAAGGATGGATGGGGAAAGAGGGAGGGGACGGAGGGAGGAGGAAGGAGGGAGGAAGAGGGTGGACGAGGGAGGAGAAGGATGATGATGCTAATGCTGCTGCTGATGATGATGATGATGATGATGATGATGATGGTGGTGGTGGTGGTGATGGTGATGATGATGATGAGGAGGATGATGCTGATGCTGCTGCTGCTGCTGATTATGATGATGATGATGGTGGTGGTGGTGATGATGATGCTGAAGATGATGATGATGATGATGATGATGATGATGATGATGATGATGATGATGATGATGATGATGATGATGATGATGATGATGATGATGATGATGATGGTGATGGTGATGGTGGTGGTTGTGGTCGTGGTGGAAGAAGATGATGAGGATGATGATGACGATGATGGTGCTGATGATGAGGAGGAGGAGGAAGAGGAGGAGGAGGAGGAGGAGGGGGAGGGGGGATGGACAAGCTAGGTGCGCTCGCGTCATATCTGACGTCCTACCCCTCCTCCATCCATTACAATGGCGCTGATTTTCTCTATCCGCGGGACGCGTGTCGTAGCGGACCTGTGGCCCGCGCGCGCCCGCGCGCTGGTGCGTAGTGGGTGGTGGTGCGCGTGCGTGCGTGCGCGCGTGTGTGATGGGGTGTGGTGGTGTTGGTGGTGGTCGGTGGTGGTGGTGCGCGTGCGTGCGTGCGTGTGTGCGTGGTTGTGGTGGTGGTGGTGGTGGTGGTGGTGGTGGTGGTGGGGTGGGGTGGTGGTGGTGGTGGTGGTGGTGGTGGTGGTGGTGGTGGTGGTGGTGGTGGTGGTGGTGGTGGTGGTGGTGTGTGTGTGTGCGTGTGTGCGCGTGTGTTAGGGCATGGCACGGGAAATGACGCCAGCGCGGCAGCGGGAGCACGAGTCGAAACGGGCGGAAGCGCGGAAATGAGGCCAACGCTGCAGCGGGAGCACGATTCGGAACGAGCGGAAGCACGGAAATGAGGCCAGCGCTGCAGCGGGAGCACGATTCGGAACGAGCGGGGCCCGAAAATGAGCGCCGGCGCCTCAAAGGGGCACTTTCGGAGACATCGAGCAAAACAGAATCCGAATCTCAAGTTGTCGTCGCCTCGCAGATCCTAAAAGGGGCCCATTATTTTTTTTTTTTTTCAAGGGAAGTAAAAAAACAAAAGCAAGTTTAGAGCACTCATACCCAACTTAGAACACCAGCATTTTAGAAAAAAACAAAAGCGAAAACCCAACTATTTTTTGTGGTCTTTTCTATCTTTTTTGTTCTTCTTTTGTTATTTTGTTATTGTTCCGGGGAATCCTGTGTGTAAAAAACAGTACGCGGGGGGGTGCCGAACATCTTCCGGACGCCATCAGGGGAAGTGGGAGAGTAGTATTCATATTGTGTAATTGTGGAGGGGGAGGGGGGATGGAGGAGGAAGGAGGATGTGGGCGGAGGGAGGGCGCCCCCGCCCTCGGCCCCCGCCCGCCCCTCCGGGCGGGCGGGCCCTTCCCCCGCGGCGCCGCCCGCGGAGGCCCAGCCGCGCGAGCGCCCGCGGGCCACGGCGCCCGCGGCCCATCTGGGGCGGCCGGCGCCCTCGAGAGCCGCCGGCATCCCCGCCGCCTTGGGGGGGTCTGGGGGGCAACAAAAAAAAACACCCGGGGAACAAAAACACAAAAATATACAAAAACACAGGGGGGGGGGGGGAAACACACACACACACACACGCACACACCACATAAACACACCAACAACACACACAAACCACAACACACACAAACACACAAAACACCACAGACAAACACACCCAACACACGCACGCATCACGCACACGCACACGCACACGCACACGCACACGCACACGCACACGCACACGCACACGCACACGCACACGCACACGCACACGCACACGCACACGCACACGCACACGCACACGCACACGCACACGCGCACGCGCACGCGCACGCGCACGCGCACGCGCACGCGCACGCGCACACACACAAAAAAAAAAAACACAAGCACACACACACACACACGCACGCACACACACACACACACACACGAAAAAACAAACACACACACACACACGGGGGGAACAGAAATCACACAAAAACAAAAAAAAACACAGTGGGGGAACAAAAAAACAAAACACACACGTAGGGTAGGTTCGTGTCGTGTCGACCAGCGGCGACCCCGCCAGCGGCGTTCGACGTGGAGCGCCGCGGGCGACCCAGAATCGTTCGACGTGGAGGAGGTCTGGACGTTCCGGGAGCGGCCGATCGCTCAGGGTCGAACGATGCCCGCGGTGTCAGAAACCAACGCCGAAGTCGGCACGACACGAGCCTTACGTAGCAAGGGTGTTCACGGTTCTCGGAGGTTTAGAGGTTGACACCAACGCCAATCTCGGCGGTGTGCCTCCACCGGCGGACGAGGATCCCCTATGTCGGTGATGGTGGTGATGTTCTGGGTTCCCAGGTGGCCGAGGGATTGCCACCGGCACCAAAATCTAGGATCATCTTCTCATGGTGGAGGGTACCTCCTGTGTTGGTGTTGGTGTTCATGTGCAGTCCTCCAAGGTTTGGTCGGTTCGCTGGCTTCGCCGTCGGTTGCATTCAGTCGGTTCGATTCGGTCGGTTGTAATTGTAGTGTCGTTGCTGCGTCGCTGCGCCATGCCAGGCTGCTCTCGGCCTGTCTATTTCCGTCGGTTTCGCTTTCTCTGTCAGGTCGGGTGGAACAGGGTGATTCGGTAGCCGTTAACAGGGTAATTCGGTAGCAAATGATTATGGGAGCCTTGTATGCCTTTGCACTTCCGTATTGGAGTAGCGTCGACTAGCGGTGGATAGTCAATGAAAAGCGCCGATTTGGCGTCGACTAGGGACAATTAGCGTCGATTTAGCGCCGACTTAGCGTCTACTAGCGTTGATTCAGCGTCGGTTCGCAAGAGCCAACAAGATGGTTCGAAGAAGAAAAAACGGCATAAGCATATGTTTGGCGCTCCGAGCGGATTCCTTGGATCTGCGCTGGGCCCCCCTGTGAGTGTGTTTGTTATTTGTGTGTCCTTGGGCCCCTCGCATCGGGCATGTGCTCTAAGAGCACTGTTCAGGAGAGAAAAAGAACATACAGACACAATCAACCGTCGATTCCCAGGAAAATATGGGAACATATGGGAGACGGGGGGGGGTGGAAGACGAACATCAAGAAAATATGGAAAAAGATGGGGCATCCTGGGATGTGTGTTTATGTGTGTGTGTTTATGTGTGTGTGTGTTTATGTGTGTGTCCTTGGGCCCCTCGACTTGCCCTTGGTTCTCAGCACATCTTTATGGGGGGGGTCTGGGACGGTCGGTCCCTGTTCGAACCTGTGCACCGCTGACGGGCCCGGGGAGGCAACTTAGCGATGGGCGAGGCTCCAGTCGGGCCCGTCCCTCTACGGGAGGAAGATTCAAGCATAGTTTTTGTTAATGGTCTGGGGACGTTTTTTTAAAATATGTAACTATTTGTGCGTATTGTTTGAAACTGTTTTTAAAGTTGTTCGTCCAACATCCGCCTGTAGGAGGACCTGCCCGACCTAAGGCGAGGCGCACCCAGGGAGTTGGTCCGGCTCATTTCGATTTCTCCGATTCGATCCGATTTCGATTTTTCCCGATTCCGATTCGATGTGATTCCGGATTCCGATTCTGGCCCCGATTTCTTGATGGCGGCCTACCAGGCTGCCGATTTCCGCCGATTCGACTTTTCCCGGCTCGGCTGCCCATTCCCGCCGATCCGATTCATTTCGATCGCCGATCCGTCTTGTCGATTCGATTCTGGGGGGCAGGTGTTGAAGGCTCTGAGGGCCGTTGCCCGGATTTGCTCCCAACCCTCCTGCGTTGGGCTCTCGTTGCGAACAGAGCGTTGCGGTGCCCACTCCTTCTCCCGCCCGCCTCCTCCTCCCTGCCCTCTACTTCCTGCCGTCTGCTTCCTGCTTCCTCCTTCCTGCCTTCTACTTCTTCCTCCTCCGTACTTCTCCGCGGGCTCCTGGAAAGCACGGCGGGGTAGCGGAGTAGACGGACCCATGCGGGACTTCGCGGTCCACTGGGGGCTGCGAAATTTCGCACGTGTCGCCCATTTTGTTGGCTTCTGGGAGGCCCAGCGGAGTGGGGGAGTACGCAGATCCAGCCGAGACCTCGCGGCCCCCTTTGGTGCTGCGAACTGCGCAATTGCTGCCATTTTCGTGGGCTCCTGGGAGGCACGGCGGAGAAGGGGAGTACGCAGGTCCAGTCGAGAACCTCGCAGCTCCTTTGGGGTACTGCGAGCTGCGCAACTGCCGCCACGGCCGTGGGCTCCTGGGAGGTCCCACGGAAAAAGGGGAGTACGCGAAGCCAGCCGAGACTTCGCGGCTCCCTTGGGTGCTGCGAGCTGCGCAACTGTCGCCGTTTTCGTGGGCTCCTGGGAGGCGACCCGGAGGAGGGGAGCACGCGCACTTATAGACGAGGCTTCGCATCTCTCTGGGAGGCTGCGAACTGGCAACTGTCGCACTTCCGTGGGCTCCTGGGATGCTCAGCGGAGCCGGGGCACTCGGGAGGTCCAGGGGAGTCGGGGGCCACGCGCACCCCGGTGAGGCCTCGCTGCTGCCTGGGCGGCCGCGCTGCGCAACGGTCGCCCCTCTCGCCTGCTGCCTGGAGGCACAGCGGACTCGTGGGCTCCGAGGAGGTCCAGCGGAGACGCGGATCCAGTCGAGACCTCGCGGCTCCCTAGGAGGCTGCTCGCTGCACAATTGTCGCGTTTTTCGCGGGCTCGGAGATGAGGGCAGCGCTGATCGTACATATCTAGCGCATTATTGTGTATGGAGCGCTCATACACATGTTCTCCTCGCGTGGAGAGGGGGCTGGATACGTCTCGGGTGACGCCGGGAATGCTGCAGTGCAGTTTTTGCTATCGTGGCGCCGTCTGGGAAAATCGGCTTCGAGGGATGTCGGATGTCCTGGCCTTGCGTGTCCGGGTTTTGCGAGGCCTTGAGCGTTTCTGCCAGCGCAGCTCTGCGCCAGGGCAGACCCGGCTGCGCCCCGGAGCATGGGGGTCCAGCACCGGCCCAAGAGATCCGCTCGGGCTTGCGAGCGTTCATGTGTTCGTGCGCATGTTCGGCCTTGAAGCGGAGGCCTTGACTGGGCCCTGAGGAGTTTCTAGGAAGGCCCCCCAACTGGAGACCAGGGCTGGACCTCAGCGGCGTTTCTGGTGCTTCCGTGGGCCGTTCTCGGTTCGACCCCGTTTTGCGGGAAAGGTGGATTCGAGGCAGCAGCGAGGGAAAACGAGAACAAAACGAAGACGAAAAACACCGTTTGGGTTCGGCCCTGCTTTCGAGACCGCCTCAGGCGAGAGCCGCCTCGGTCTGAGCTCGAGCCTCGGAGAGGGAGGCACCGCACGCACCCCCGGAGGACGACGCCCGCCGGCGAGTGGGATCCCGAGGGGAGGTGGCACCTCCTTTAGGGGGCCACATGCGAACCCTACCCCTACCCCCTACGATTTCTGAGGGGTGGGGTGGGTGGGGTTCACTTCGCTCGGGAGCTCCCGAACGAAGTGGACCCCGCCCTCCCCCTCAGAAGTCGTAGGGGGTAGGGGTAGGGTTCGCATGTGGCCCCCTATCCTTCCTCACCACCAGGGTCCCTAAGGAAGTGGCACCGCACGAGCAACTCCAGCCCCCGAGGCAGCGCCAACCCTGCTGGGGAGGTGCCTCTTGTTGGGCGACGCCTGGAGCACGAGCGGGCCTCTGCCCGCGCTTCTGTGAACACACGTCTCGAAGGCGCCCGCGCGCGGCGCCACGGCGAGAGCACGCTCTCACGGGGACGGTCTGCCCTCCATCCGCACCATGCTGCAGGCGTTCTACAGATCCCTTCTTGACAACCCCGAGCCTCCTGTCGAGGAGGTGCGAACATGACTCAGGAGGGAAAAAACACACACACACACAGACACAATTAATCGCCGATCCCCAGGAAAATATGGGAAAATACGGGAAGTGGGGGGGAAGACAAAAACCCAGAAAATATGGGAAACTATGGGGCATATTTTTATTTGTGTGTGTTTATTTGTGTGTCCTGGGGCCCCTTCACAACCCCGAGCCTTCTGTCGAGGAGGTGCGAACATGCTTCCGGCGCGGGGACCCCGCGGGTCCCGCGTCCGCGCAGAGCCGTCGCGCCCCGGCGCCCCGCCAGGCAGCAGTGGCGCCATGCTCCGGGGGACGCCCTTGCCGGTTCGCGGACCCGGCGCCCACGCGCCAGATCCACAGATCCGTCATCTGGACGCCCGAAAAAAGTACTCCAACATGGTCGAAAAAACACTCCAAAAGTGATCCTCAGACTATTTTTTTTATTTTTGAATATTCCCCCTGTAGAGGGGACAGGCCCGACTTCATGGTGGCGGTGTCGCGCCTCCTCCACGCGGGGGGGAGAGCGACGAGGCGGGGAGGACTCCCCCTTTCCAGGAGGGAAAAAACACACAGACACAATTAATTCTCGATT